AAGTTTTTTCCATCATCAAGTGCAAATTAATGATCAATACTTTTTGATCAGTTGAATCATTTTACTTATTTTACACTCATCGAACTTGTAAGAACTCGAGGTAGCTTATATTTTGACACAATGTATAGGCTGAGAGTGCACTTCTGGCTCTCGACTGTTGTGGCGATGTTTTGGGATCTGAACGCATCAGGTACAATTAATTGAGTTGTAGATAAATTTCTGTGAAGTCTAATTTTCAATGTACTTAGCGAGTTTGATGGTATTTTAGGGTAAGTCCTTCAAAGACACCATTGAGGCCCCGAGTTCCCTAACCGGGAATGTAGTAAAATCGATGGCTCCAGACCAAAATCTGAAAGGAAGTTGAAGTGAATTCTCTTGGAAGATAATGATCTTGAAGTGATTCATATCTCAACTCTTTTACCAATTGTTTCCTTGATATTTTTCCTGGCAACAGTAACTTTTTTCTTTCAACTGAACACAACTCTTTGACCTGTTAAAGTTTTATTGAGAGGTGCTCATCTTAGGCACTTTTTACTATGATTAATCATCGATGCTAGCTTTGGTACATGACATGTTCGGTTCTGTGCAATTTCATGTGAATGCTGACACAGTGCGTTTGTGTGACAGGAGGTTTTTTACTAATGTGGCCTTGACCAATTAGTGTTCGAAAGTGAGTGACAAAATGTGTGACTTTGTTTTATAATAGCAATTGAGTTCCCTCGTCTTAAGATCTTAGATCTTGCTCCGGAGTATCGTTCGCTTTGCGAAAGCCTTTGTTGATTTTTACACTCGCGGATTTTATTCACATATCTTGCTATTCACATTCTAGACTTACCTTATGAGCCACTTAAATTAAATGCTGATTTATAAGGTTCTCGTGTGTGACAAATGCCTATCGAGTAGGCATTTGTATGTGATTGCGAATATCATTACAAAATACGCTTTACGACTATATGAAACATATCTCATTAAATGGAGTGTAAGAGTCACTAATTCACCAAATTAAACTTACTACATATTCAACGCCGCTGC